GAGTTCACAGTGTCAAGATTATATCTGATAATTATCCTATTGCTAAGAATACTGTGGCCTAAATCCTAGGGCTAGTCCCTAACAGATTAGATTCATTGCCACAATAGGAACATGGTAAGTCAGCATTTATGCAATTTCCACTGATTTAGTGGATTTACTCTTGTTGGAAATAGAAAATGGATTTAAACTATGTTGCAACTAAAAATGGCTCATACTGGAATACTCTCATAAATCCAAACTGAGCTACTTTAAATAGTTTAAAAAAATATAAAATAAAACTTTCATAGCTTAAAGACCATTATCTAAAGATTTTCATATTAATTATCTAAATTAATAGACTGATTTAATGATCAATTTATTACTTATTATTGATTAATCATATAAACTGATCAATTTTATTAATTTATTCAACTAAAATTATTTGCCCTATAAACCAATAACCCATTTTAGATAATATACCATAAGATAATTTACAGCATACAAACACTATGACTAAGGAAAGACTACTAATGCACAATTATGCATTTGCTTTTCACCAAAACCCTATAGCACTATACTGGATATAACACATACAAATACACCCACACAGAGACTTGCTGATCAAAATAGCCATTACAATGCAACCAAGCCAGCAACTGCCAGATAATTATTTACAGCTACAAAAAATAAATATTGTAATGAACTGAAATCCTTCTGTAGTTGCAGATAAGAAGCACTTTTTAATAGAACAATCAGAAAATGTAAGCAATTATCTAATTTCTCTATTTTTTATTTGTATCATCTCCTATCTACTGTAAAGACTACCTTAGCTAATATGCACATGTAGAAAATATATTTATAATGCCCAAATCATAAATTCTCAAGATGCATATATGGGCCCTTCCACACAGCCCTATATTCCAGAATATCAAGGCAGAAAATCCCACAATATCTGCTTTGAACTGGGGCACATCCAGACAGATGATATTCTGGGCTACCCGCAATTAATTCGCCTCAAACCAGGAAAACCCTGGTTTGTGATGAATTAATTAGATAGTGGATTTATTCTGTGCCTTCTTGGAAGGTGTGGGATAAACCCACTACTAAATTAGCCTGCAAAACTAATCCCAACCCCCTCCCCCAAAGCCCTAAATCTATCTTTAAAAGTAAAGAAAACTTACCTGGCCTCCAGTAGAGTGTGGCTGGACCTCTCCCAGCATGCAGAAATGACGTGCCAGGAGGGGGGGGGGTAGAGGAAAATTGCTCTCTCCCACTCTCCTGGCATGTCATTTCTATGTGCCAGGAAAGCTTCGGTAACACTGTACTGGAGACCAGGTAAGTTTTCCTTAATTTTAAAAGGGGTTTTAGGGCTTTATGTGTGTGTGTGTGTGTGTGTGTGGGGGGGGGATTTGAATCTCCAGGTGTTCTCCCAGGCCAGTCCTGAAGAACATCTGGACACCCACCCCAGAAAGCACACGCTTTCTGGGGTTTGTGTGGCTAGGTGCCCATCTGCGTATTTTAAAGGCAGATGCTCTTGGGATAAAGGGCTGTGTGGATGCGCCCTGAGTTATGAGTCTACACTCAGAAAATGTGCGATTTTCGGCCTTGATATTTTGGGGTATAGGACTGTGTGGAAAGGCCCCATGTTACAAGAAAGAAGACCTCAATTTTTTCATCATTTTAGTTACTGATTTAATCCTGAAATATGGTTAAGTAGAAACAAGATTCAGTTTTGTGACGCTTCTGTTACAGGAAAATGTTTGAAACTTGAGAGACATACTTTAGTTTCAAAACATTTTGTTATGAACCACACAATTTCAAGCTAATGTTGAAAAAAGTGACACAAAGATTTACTATGCAGGGATTCTTCACAATGTCACCTTTTGTATATATAAGTAAACCAGTGGCTCTCAGCCTGTGGGTCCCCAGGTGTTTTGGCCTACAACTCCCAGAAATCCCAGCCAGTTTACCAGCTGTTAAGATTTCTAGGTGTTGGAGGCCAAAACATCTGGAGACACACAGGTTGAGAACCACAGATATAGACGTACAATGCAGGTATTCTTCTGTGCCTCTATATCTCAGATACTTGATACCCAGTCTTTTTCTTTATAAGAAGAAAACCAAAATCCAAATATGAGAGAAATAAGTCTCCAGCAATTTTTGCCAGTTAAGTAATTTTTTGAGATAGCATTGGGACAATTATTTGTCCAATGTTATTTTTGAGCAACAAAGTTCCAGTTTTAGGAGGTTGACTCTATTTAGGGGAAATCAAACACTGTTGCAAATGGCATGGGATTGTATTGGTTTCAAGAAAACACCTAACCTAATCAATTAATCTTCACTGATCATTTAGTTCAGTTTCACACTTGTATTGAAGAAAGTGGTTTCATTGTGCAGTTGATTACATAGGAAATCTTGGAATCGGTTTGAAAGCCAGATGGTAATTACCTAAACCACAGAGTATGGATGCACAACAATGGCTTTCTTTTGTGTGCTTTTGTGAAGTTTTGTTGTCTGGCTACCACATTTTGAAGCTAGCTTCAAATGGCATTAAATGGTCAGTGCAGATGGGGCCTTAATTCCATTGAAGCAATGGTTAAATGAAGAGTCAGCATTTAGTTGGGATTCCCTATAGAAATTAGGCCATAATTTTAATTTCTCTGGTTTTATTTTCTCGGTGTGCTTTTTGGCTCTAGCTGTTTCTGTGCAAAATACTTAATACCGAGTACGCAAATCTTCCTTTGGATGAGAACCATTTTAGTACCCTGCAGTATGCTGGAATTCTTATTGTAGCTAGAAAATGACTAACATGTTTATTTTATTTTTCTTAATGAAAGAGGCTAAATTTATCATCACTGTGCTCTAATTATTAGTCAAAGAAAGCATATACTAGAGATCATATTTTCATGTAAACAAGCATTCAAAAATTATTTTCTATCCCTACTACACTTGACACTACCAGGAAAAATAATAAACAGCAGAGGAAACCCAGAAGCAGTAACCTACAGTTTCCAAAAGTTCAGCCATGATGCATTCATTCAGTATTTATATGATGAAAGGGAGCATTAACATTTCCACAGTAAGATTTAGGACAAGGGTGCAGAAAGACTGAATTGCTTGTAGGTTGTGAGCATCTGTGTCTGGAGAACTCTATTAATTCTCCAAACACAGATGGAGTTACTTAGAACATCACATTGAGTAATAATGTTCTCAGATGGCTCACTAGCTGGATTAGCATCCAAGCATCCCAATAATATTTGTCATTTAAAAATGATTGGAAAGCATTCTTTTCTTTGAGCAATGCTACTGGGATGCAGTTTCAAAATTGTGTATTTGGTAGATGAAATCTTAATAAGAACAGACTTTGTTCTGATTTGGAATTGGGCTTGGCTATGCAAGCTGTTTTCTAGAAAACCAGAAATAGCTTGTTTTTCACCATCTCTACCTCATTTTTTTAGTTCTGAAATATGCACCCTGGTAGACTCTCAATGCCTTTTTGTGAAGTCTGTTTACCAGTTGAAGTTACATGGATCCATCCCTATGCTCTTTATACCATGCATTCTCTTATACAAAAGAAAGGCTGAAAATTTAGTTGCAGTACCTAAAATTCCCATGAAGAAAGCCAATAGAAATAAAAATGCCAAAGGATGGAGCAAGATGGATGGGATACAATAGCTCAGATACATATGTATTTTAGTTGGAGAAAACAGTACTCAGTAATACTTTTAAGCATTGTGAGCAGGAGAAGATTGTATAATCTGAGACAAATGCTACCAAATGTGGTAGTATCACACTGCTGTTCATGTTATTACATAATAACATGAGTTACAGCTTTCTGTGCATCTGTTTTTGCCACTTGTATTACAGCAGGAGTACTTTTTACTTTATAATCCAGAATAGGCTATAGTTATAAAAGAAGGTCTTAATCATACTGCAGTGATCTGAGAACATATTTTTCTCATACTGTCAACACTTCCATTTACAGAAACCTTAAAATATAGTAATGAACATATGGAGGAATTGCAAACCATCAGACTCGATGAGATAGTGAGAGTAAGGATCTTGTCGGGAAAACATTATCTCCACTGTATAAGCCTTAAAATTAAATGGATAACTAGCCTTAGCAGATTTTTTTCTACACGTGTATGGTTTATCATATGTCTTTAAAAGCTGTCTGCTAACCTCTCCATCTCTATTTGCACAGCCTCTGAAGAAACAGTAGTTTGAAAGTACAAGGGATCTCTTTTATCTGAGTTGGCATTGTGAGCTTCGTGAAGAGACACTAATAAAGGAGGTATATTTTTACACATACTTTTCTGAATTATTTGTCATATTAATTCATTTTATGTGTAATGTACAATTAATTAGTTGACTTCCTGTTGTATAACACGCTAGTGCCATTTTAAGCAGTTGTCTAGTTTGCAACAGAGTCTATGACATTGGCCTGAGGTTACTCACAGCCCTCAGTTTCCTCATTTCAAAAGTACTGTACAGGGTATGTCCGTAAAATGGGCTTTTCTTCCCCAACTTGAGCTCTTACAAAAGAAATACTAAAAATGTATATTTGAGGATGCTTGCCATAGATGCAGGCGAAACGTCAGGAGAAATGCCTCTAGAACATGGCCATATAGCCCGAAAAAACCCACAAGAACTGAGTGATTCCAGCCATGAAAGCCTTCGACAATACAAAAATGTATATTGTTGTGCACTTATCTTTACAAAGCCAATAGTATGGATTTTACACAGTTGAATCCATAATCAAGATTGTTGCCCCAGCTGAGAGGAGTTCATCTCTGCCAAATTAATATTTAGTACTTGGGTTGAAGTTCAAGCACAGTTATTGAAACTATACAAAGCACCTTTTTGTATGCACTGTTCCCTATAAAGCAGCACACATATGCTAAAATTTCATGGACATTTGGGCTGTTCTTACTGGATTAGGACAAACAAACAAAAATACAAGAATAACTTTGGAACAAGAATGTAAAAAAAGAGCAAGCAAAATGTTCTGACTGACTTACTTTTTGTCACAACTCCTTCAAGGCGGATAATATTTGGATGGTCAAACTGTCCCATGATGCTAGCTTCTCGAAGGAAATCCCGGCGCTGCCTATCCACATATCCACCTTTCAAAGTTTTTATGGCTACAGGAATCTCCCTTTTCCCCGGTGTTTTCAAGCGACCACTGCATACTTCTCCAAATTCACCTCAAATTGAAAACAAGATTGTTAGCACACTATATAGCTATGAGAATGTAAACATTTTATAACAAATGTTCCTGTACTAATATCTGTATAGGTAATCATGCTTCTGGGCAAAGGATTCCTCTAACTATCCCATGAAATCTATCTGTTTACTCCTAAATTCTACTAATTATAACATGGGAATTAATAGGAATGAAAGTTTCTGATCAGTGACATATGGGGACAAGAGGACAAATCATACATATACAATTTAAATCAGTGCTTAAAGTGTAGTGGAATTTTTCCCAAGGTTACCGAACACTTGCTGTTCAAAGTCTATTTGAGTATGAATCCATTTCACTTCAAGACTAATCCAAAGACAGTAAAGACACAATTGCCATAATGATGCATTCACATTGTTTTGGAGTGATATGATAAAAATAATTTAGACAAGGTATTATCTCAGTAGATCTAGTTTGATTTGGGATATTTGTGTGGATGACTTCAGGAAAAATAATCAGAATGCTGCAAAAAAGTGTGCAGTAAGTTGGATTCAAATAACTGACGGCCATAAAAATGATCATAGTTTCCTCAACTGCAAGGAGACATCTGATCTTATGGAACATAGGGTTTCTTAAAACATATAATAGTCAAAGTAGCATTCTACAGTGATAAAGGAATTTATCATGTTTCAAAGTGATAAATTTTCAAAGTCACATTATAGTCGGCACAGGTAAATAAAATAGCTTTTATCTAAATTGAACGAGTGAATCAATGGCTGAATCAACATGGATATTTTTAGCTTAGATAAGAGGTAGACAATGCATGGGCTCCAGATTTTATTGGATTGCAACTCATGTCATCCTTTCTAATGGATATATTGACAAGTACTGCTTATAGTTAAAATCCAACAACAGCTAGAGCAGTGGTTCTCAACTTTCCTAATGCGATGGCCCCTTAATACAGTTCATCACGTTGCAGTGACCCTCAACCATAAAATTATTTTTGTTGCTACTTCATAACTATAATTTTGCTACTGTTATGAGTTGTAATGTAAATACCTGATGTGCAGGATGTATTTTCAGTCACTGCAGCAAATTTGGCACAAAGACCTGATACGCCCAAATTTGAATAATGGGGCAGGGTGCAGGGGATTATTTTTGTCATTTGGAAGTTGCAGTTGCTGGGATTTATAGTTCACTTGCAATCAAAGAGTATTCTGAATTCCACCAATGATGCAATTGAAGCTAACTTGGCACACAGAACTCCCATGACCAACAAAAAATAAATAAATAGAAGAGTTTGGTGGGCATTGATCTTGAGTTTTGGAGTTGTAATTCCCTATATCCAGAGAGCACTGTGGACTCAAACAATGATGGATCTGGACCAAATTTGGCACAAATACTCAATATGCCAAAATGTGAACACTGGTGGGGAAAATAGACCTTGACATTTGGGAGTTGTAGTTGCTGAGATTTATAGTTCACCTACAATCAAAGAGCATTCTGAACCACACCAAAGATAGAATTGGGCCAAACTTCCCATGCAGAATTCCCATGACCAACAGAAAATTCTGTGCTTTTTGATGGTCTTTGGTGACCCCTCTGACACCACCTCACGAACCCCCCCCCCCAGGAATTCCGCCCCCCAGGTTGAGAAACACTGCTCTAGAAGATCACTGTGTGCTCTCTTCTGTCCTAGACTCAAAAAACTATGGCTTCAGACATTTATATACAGAAAACTTATATAAATTGTAATGGACTGTTCTTTTGAGGTTAAGGCTGAAGACCTATTTAATTAGAAAGGACCCAAGTCTACACAACTGTGTTAGGATTATGGTAATTTTCAGGTCCTATCCCAAGGAAGATCTCTGATGCTGAGTAACTGCTTCTCTCAGTCTAACCTTTATTCAACAGAATCCTCTCATAGGTTTTATCATCCTTTACTTGGAAGATTCTAGCACTCCCTACAAATAGGCGAGAAGGGAGCAAAGCAGGATTATTGGGAGACATGCACAGCTGTTGACACAAGGAATATTTGGAAAAACTCCAATGGCATCGATGTGCTATGATAGACACAGTGAAAGCTATCAAAAGTTTAGTAGTCTAGAATGTGATATTTTTCTCTTTTTATAATCACAACAGATTTTAGTAGCACAAGTGCCAAAAAACCTCTTTGCAGACAGCAAACAATATAACTGATTTCACCTTTAGCCATCACTGATATTTAACTACCACTTATTGACACCAAATTTTGTTGTGGCTGTTAAAAAGATATAAAAGATAATCCTGATATTTCACCAAGTGAGTCATCATGAATTATTTTCATTATAAGTTTTCTCCATGCCGCTACTTCACTTTAATCAGTCTTTTCTGCCCGCAAGGAGCAAAAGGTTTCACATTATCAGCAGCATATTTAGCTGATACAGCTATAAAATATCACTGTATTAATTCCTGAGGTAAATAACATCTCTGGTGGCAGGCATTTTATCCTAAAGTGCAATTATTAATTCCCTTTGCTAGAGGTAAGTTGTGTTTAAATACATGTATGAATAAAACTTCACCACAGAAATGTATCTCATGGCATATAATGGATGCAGAAGATAAAATACTTTGTTGATCCCTTAAGCAAGATTTCTTTATTTTAGAATAATCTCTCTGAATCTAGTAAAGGCAGACATTAATAAGGGAGTGCTCAGCACTGCCCAATTTGTATTTATACTTGGAAATAGTGGTAATATAAAAGCATAAAATAGGAACAGTGTGGTGTAGAGATTTTAGCATTACATTATAACTCTAAGGACCATGGTTCAAATCCTTAGCATAGGCTATCATAATAGGCCAAGTATGATTGCCTTCCAAGTGTAGGGTCTTGGTGGAGGCTCTGTAGGTGACTGTAGAGACCTAATCTTGATCCATATATTATTTTACAGTGAGGACATTGAATTCCAGATGAAAGACAATCCTGACAAGGATGGCTTGATGTGCCTTTCTCTTGACACGTTTCTCCCTTTCACCCTCCATTCATGCCTCTTGGAATTCCACAGCACTGTTGGTAACAGCTGGCCTCCAGTTAGAACCCTTGAGGGCCAGGGCTTCCTGGTTCTCAGAATCTATGCCACAGTTTTAAGGTTAGCTTTAAGCCCATCTTCAAATCTTTTTTGCTGTCTACCAACATTCCTTACATGTCCATGGAAACCCACTGGGTGACATTGGGCAAGTCACATTCTCAGCCTCAGAGGAAGGCAATAACAACCCTCATCTGAACAAAGTTTGCTATAAAATCCTAGGATAAGTTCATCATAGATTCTCCTTGGAAACAACCCGAAGACACAGAACAAAAACTTATTCTTGCCTTTTTTCTTGTTTTGTATTCATATAATTTTTACTTCTTTTCTTTCTGGCCCAGTTCAGTGCATATCCTTAATTCTTTCACCCACTGCCCAGGACACATAAAAGGTTGGAAGACAGCTATATTGTAATCTGGGAGAATTGTTTTATTTCTTCTGCATACAGTGTGAAATAAAAAATTCAAAGTAGTAAAGTTTTTTTTTAAAAAAACTTGAAGGTGAGAGAGAGAGAAAGAGAGAGAGCTTTCTTTTATAGTGACCATACATCACCTTCATCTGGTGGCAATACATTACTTCTTTTAGAAAAGAGAATGAACATCTAATACCAGAAAGTAACTGATGATGCAAGTGAAAAAGAGAAATGGCACAGGAGGCTTTTCTTGAGATCAGAAAATCAAAAGTGTAGGGTCCACCAAACTATAATAAGAAATATCTTTCATATCAAAGTCTTTAAATCATGTGAACATGAACATGGTACAAATATTCCATGTGTGGGATCTGGGTGCTTTTCAAGTCCAATTTGAATTTGGATTAAAATGGTGAGTGTAACATTGGGGCAGTTCTACACACACTCTTTATCCTGGCGCAAATCAAATTGTCAAATTCTGGATTGGCCCGGGGATGGTTTTGACCTTTTGCTCCCAGGACACTGCAGAGGTGGTAAACCCTGTTTAGTGCTAATGGAAGGCCATCATACTGTCCCCTACCATTCTTTTTTCATGCAATGTTTATTGTAAATGTATGAAGAATGGGGAAGGGTACAAGAGTGGATATAGAACGGGCATTTTTAACATCTTACATCTTCTTCCATTGTTATCTAATACATAAAAGGTTTCTATGAAGTTAAAAAAGAAAAGGGGAAAAAGAACATTTCTTTACTAATCTGAAACAGGAGGACAGAAAAGCATGTGTGCAGTGTTTTGAAACAAAGAATCATAGAATCATAGAATCAAAGAGTTGGAAGAGACCTCATGGGCCATCCAGTCCAACCCCCTGCCAAGAAGCAGGAATGTTGCATTCAAATCACCCCTGACAAATGGCCATCCAGCCTCTGCTTAAAAGCTTCCAAAGAAGGAGCCTCCACCACACTCCGGGGCAGAGAGTTCCACTGCTGAACGGCTCTCACAGTCAGGAAGTTCTTCCTAATGTTCAGATGGAATCTCCTCTCTTGTAGTTTGAAGCCATTGTTCCGCGTCCTAGTCTCCAAGGAAGCAGAAAACAAGATTGCTCCCTCCTCCCTGTGGCTTCCTCTCACATATTTATACATGGCTATCATATCTCCTCTCAGCCTTCTCTTCTTCAGGCTAAACATGCCCAGCTCCTTAAGCCGCTCCTCATAGGGCTTGTTCTCCAGACCCTTGATCATTTTAGTCACCCTCATCTGGACACATTCCAGCTTGTCAATATCTCTCTTGAATTGTGGTGCCCAGAATTGGACACAATATTCCAGATGTGGTCTAACCAAAGCAGAATAGAGGGGTAGCATTACTTCCCTAGATCTAGACACTATGCTCGTATTGATGCAGGCCAAAATCCCATTGGCTTTTTTTGCCGCCACATCACATTGTTGGCTCATGTTTAACTTGTTGTCCACGAGGACTCCAAGATCTTTTTCACACGTACTGCTCTCGAGCCAGGCGTCACCCATTCTGTATCTTTGCATTTCATTTTTTCT